ATAGATTGAATTCCTTCACATTGAATTCCTTCACCGTTAGAATGATTAAATAAATATTCAGACCCAAATGAATATGTTACTCAATAAAATGAACATATGTAGGAACGAAATGAACATGTTACCTGTATCATGTGCTTCTTGTTGTCCATCAGTTGCCATTTCAGTCTCAATTCCTTCATTTCTTTCCACATCATCATCCTCTTTCTCTTCCACATTTTCTAAGATAATGAACATGTTTAAGATAATGAATATATAATGCAATAAGATGAACATGTTTGAGAGAGAAATGAACATGTTACCTCCATTCTGTTCTTGTTCTTGTTCCTGTTCCGGTTCCTGTTCATCTCGATCATTTGCCACTTCATTTTCAATTCCTTCTTGTTCTTGCACCAAAACCTCATCCCCAACCTCTACATGAATTGACTCCTCATCCTCATTTTCTAGATAATGAAATGAACATGTTAAATATGGATATGAACATGCTTAAGAACATGTTTAAGATAATGAATATGTCATTCAATCAGATGCACATGTTTAAGAATGAAATGAACATGTTAAATATGGAGATGAACATGCTTAAGAACATGTTTAAGATAATGAATATGTCATTCAATAAGATGAACATGTTTTATAATGAAATGAACATGTTACCTGCATCTTGTTCCTGCTCTTGTCCATCAAAACCCATTTCATCATCAATTCCTTCATTTGTTTGCACATCAATAACACCTTGTGCGATTTTCATGATAACTGATGCATGGTTCTGAAGTGCATGATGAATAATGAGGGCAGCACCCAAATCCGAGCTCTTTGCCCTTTCACACACCTCTCGAACTTCAGACATGAATGGTGCTATATTTGTCATAGCCCTTTCAAACCTTTCAACCAAATTTTCTTGCTGTTTGTTTGTTTTTAGGAAAAAAACTTGTATGAGATGAAGCTGTTATATTATTATATGAACATGATACATTATGATATGAACATGTTTTACAATGAGATGAACATGTTGGTTAAAGGGATGAAGTTGTTGTATGAAGGGATGAACATGTTTTAGAATAAAGATCAACATGTTCTATTATTTTGTGAACATGTTGTCTGATAAGATGAACATGTTGTAGAAACATATGAACAGAATTTACCTCGACCACATGTTCATCAGCTAATGTGGCTGCTTGATCCGCTCCATCTCTTGGTGGTTTGATGGGATCAAGTATTGACCCCATCCCAAAACCCTGGCCACTCTGCTCTTCCCTAACTCTCTTGGAAATTGCTTGATTTGTCCAATAAGCAATAGCAGGGAATTTCCGGGGTACATAAGTCTTGTTCATAAACTGGACCCTGTCCAGATAGCATACTACCAAGAAAGTGAGTGGACCATTAAAATGGGCCTCTCCACCACTTTCATTCCACATCTTGACCGATTCAGAAAGAGCTTGTAACACATACTGGCACCAATTGTAATTGATGATGTCAGACGGTTTTCGCAACGATTTGAGCAATCTAAACTTGCATTCTTGGCCCCTATTTCTCCAGAGAAATAGGGACACCACAGCAATCACGAAAATTCTTTTAAAGTCATCTCCATAGACTCTCTGTCCTCTCTCAACGTCCTTTCCAGTTAAATATTGCACCAGCTTTTTAGCTGTTGGAGCTCCAGCCGTACGCTTAAAACCAAAGGTCTCCCTGAAATCCCCAAGCATCTTATTATATTGTTCATCTTTGTCATACCAATCACCCTCAATGACCTCTTTTGGTCCTCTCGGTAGGCCCAGAACAGCCTCAACATCTTCGGCGGTAATATTCATCTCTCTATTACCGCGGAGAATGAGTGTGTTACTGGCATACCTGTGATAACATGTGATATAATGTGATGTACATGTTTAATAAGAAAATGAACATGTAGTAGAATGAAAATAACATGTACATTATAATGAAATTCAAATTTCACAAATTACCTGTACTGTGTGACCAAGTAATAACAAAGATTTGGTGTCGCAATTTGTGTAATCTTCATGTCGAGAAGATGACCAAAACCTACACTCTTTACATCTTCTTTCTGTCGGTCATCCAAGTCTTTGAAAAATTTGTACAACGCTAGAGGGGAAACTCTATTTAAGAATCCCCCTTCTTCTTTTATTTCATAGGTTAATTTTGGCTTCTTTCTTTCAGTTTGCTTACTCAGAGTATCAGCTTTCCTTTTTCTACAAAAATAATATCATGAACATGTTACAGTATAATATGAACATGTTACAGTATACAATGAACATGTTAAATTGTATAATGAACATGTTCAAATATAAAATGAACATGTTACAGTATGATATGAACATGTTTCAGTATTTAATGAACTTGTTCTATTGTATAATGAACATGTTCAATTACAAAATGAACATGTCTACATTCTATATAAGATGTTCTTTGAACATGTATAGCAACGAAATGAACATGTGTAGTAAGAAAATGAATATGTTTAAAAGAAAATTGAACATGTTCAAATGAACCAATATACGAATGAAGATGAACAAGGCGGACATACCGTTCACCAACATTTTCTGGCCGTTGTTTCGACCTCTTTTTCCTACGGCTTTTAATTTTATCCTGTGTGGAAAAAAATTATAACACATTATACAATCTTCTAGAATGACTACTTTAAACCCTAGGCACAGAAATTTGAAATTGAAAATAGGGTTTTGGCAAGTGAATTGAATCTCTAATCGGAATGGTTTCAACCCAAGGCACAAAATACATACCAGCATGTTCCACAATGTCTCGTTTTCCATCTGCCATGAAGTAGGGTTTCTCATTTCTAAGTTTAACATTTAAAATTTATGAAATTGAAATTAAATCGACATGAAAAGCAAAGAAATCTTACCTGGGAAGTAGAGATTGTCGGAAATTGAGCGTTTTTCACTTAAAATTGTCTTCTCCGGGAACTTTTGCTTGTGAAACAGAGAAAATTAAGAGAAAACAATGGTGAGAATGAAGAAGAGTTGCAGTTGCAGTTGGGGGAGAAGACGGTTTGAAAATCGAGGCGATGCCGGCAAAATTGGGAAAAAAAAAATAATTAATGAACAAAAGTTTTGATGTGAAAGGCGCGTGGTTTTCACGTTAAATAAAACCCTTTTTACCACTTTTTTTGGACTTGGCTCGCGCGTGCAAATCGGGCATGGCACACCTAGCAAGGTGTGCCTAGGCACACGATAGTGCAACTGATAAATTGTCGTATCTTTAGGAAATTGATACTAAACAAAATCTATCATATATTGAGGAAAAGTTTTGACGGCGTGAACATTATTCAAAGTAAATCTTCTATGCCAGTTTTATTTATTTATTTATTTATTTTGGTTAAAATGACACGCCATAAAACTCAATCGATGATTTTATAATAATTTTTCAAGCTCATGCTACACAATAAGTTTGATAGATAAACGTGTTGTCTTTCATTTAGGATCGAGATGAAGTATAATTCCTTATTTATAATGGTAAGTAGAATTATTTTTTACTTTTATTTATAGAATATAATTTTCAAATAAAAATTTATCAGAAGAAATAATTATACAATATATCATATATGAAAAATTGGTAAAAGTTATTGAGATTCCTACTTTTCTAAATATATTTATAGTTTGAGGTACAAAGTATTTTATTTAAATAAAAATTCTCATAAGCATAGATAATTAAAATGGTGATCCACATGACATACTTCAAATGTTTTAATATGACAGATAGAAGGAAAAATTTTACATTTATTGTTAATACATATGGAGGGATTATCGTTTCAATGATAATAATAACAAAAAAAAAAAATGACATTGTAAATTTCATTTTGGGATACTCATACTCACTCTATAACCCCTTTCATTATTATGCAGTTACAATAAAGTTAAAAATCCCACCTACTGAAGTTCATGCTTGGCTGTTTTTATTTATCTCCACCACCAAATCAATGCATTTGTCATCACAAATTGTTGTGTTGTGGAGGCCAAATCACATTTGAAATAGGACAACATTGAAAATACCAAACACATACAGGGGTAGAAAAGTAAAATACAATAGTACGATGCAGGTAAAAAACAAACAAGAGTAACTGAAGGCCCTGCACCTGTTTGAATCACTCCGTTTGACCTTTCTGCCGTTTGGTCATTAATTTTTGAAGTGAAGTCCAGAATTTGCTACCTGAATTTGGTACGACTCTCTCCCCACACTCTCACCATGGCGCGTGCTCCCACGCTCCCCTTGTCTTAAAATTATTTGGCTATATATTAGCATTTACCGATTTAACTGAAATTGGTTGCTCGCAACAAAATTAACTGATTCTAAAACAAACTTGCAAATATTAGGAGCGACTGAGAGTGTTGAGAGATTATTGTTGAAACAGTAAAACTAATGGTTAAATTGTCACATTTTTGGAACCTGTATACATACTTTGAATACGAAATAATATAGAACAATATAATGAAAAATATAACAAACAGAAATGCTCTCTTACCCACGGTGAGCACATGTTAATATGTCCATCGCCGCTTATGTGGCATGCATATATTGGTGATGTATTTTTTTTAATATATTATTATCACCAATGTGTGCATGTCACATAAGCGGTGAACATATTAAAATGTGTCCAATGATCAATGTGAATAGGAGAGCATTTCCGATATAACAAAATAATACTAACGTTTAATAATAACAACAAATAAATTATCTGCACCATTAATAATAAATCATACAGCATCAAATAAAGTAGAATAAAGGCCAGCCGCGATTGTGGACGACGGGCGTATGGGATCTGGTCAACTCCGTTTGACCACGCCCTTTAGGTAAACGCGGACAAATCTTAAAACCGAAAAACTGAGGGTAACTTGGGTAATTGCAAAAGATCCACTCTAAATTTAATTATATTAAATTATTTGTTTAATAAAAATGAAATTAATTGTTGTCGCTGTTTTGGTTGCCTTTCTTATCACTGCCCCCTATATATATATACTGTGATGCCCCTTTCNAAAAAAAAAAAAAAAAAAGCACAATCACACACAACAAAACACGCACTAGAGAGAGCGTGATATGAGAACGAGGAGAGGATTATGCTATCCTCGAGTGATGAATATCTGTGTCGAGACTAATCGGAGAAGAAATCCGGCCGGAGAACACACCGGCTGCCGGAAAAGGATGAGAGCCTCGCCGGAAAGTCGAGGAGGGTACGATTATTTTGAGGTCTTGCCTGATGACATCGTCCTCTGTATTCTCGGCAAGCTCAGCTCCAACGCCGGCTGCCCCGCCGATTTCATCAGTGTGCTGATAACGTAAGGACTTTTATATTTGAATGAAGAGTACTGTATTTTTATGTTAAAGATTCGATTTTTATATTAAAATATGAATTATTTTGCGTTTATTACTGTAAATATTGAATCTTTATTTTGAATTGTTGGATGAACAGATGCAAAAGGTTCAAGGGATTGGGCCTTCACTCGCAGGTTTTATCCAGAGCCTGTGAGAAAATGTTGGCAGTGAAAGCCAAAAACTGGTCCGAGTCGGCTCACCGATTCCTCAAACTCTGCGCCGATTCCGGCAGCGTCGAGGCGTGCTACACTCTTGGAATGGTCAGNTTTTTTTTTTTTTTTTAATTTAATTATTTTCCTATTTTTGTTGTGTACATCATTTCTTGTTTCATGTGCAAGATCCAATATTTAACCAAAATATGCGGATTTTAATTCAACCATTTTTTTTAATTATTAAATAATTGTTTATTCGCTGGACACAGATTCGATTCTACTGCCTGGAAAACAGAGGGAGCGGGGCGTCCCTGATGGCCCGGGCCGCGATTGCCTCTCACGCTCCGGCGCTGTACTCTCTCGCCGTCATCCAGTTCAACGGCAGCGGCGGCTCCAAGAGCGACAAGGACCTCCGAGCCGGCGTCGCCCTCTGCGCGCGGGCCGCCTTCCTCGGCCACGTCGACGCTCTCCGGGAGCTCGGCCACTGCCTCCAGGACGGCTACGGCGTCCGCCAGAACGTCGCCGAGGGCCGCCGTTTCCTCGTCCAGGCCAACGCCCGCGAGCTCGCCCTCGTCCTCGTCGCGCACCCTGCCGCCGTCGTTCCCCGCTCCTGGCTCACCTGCAACCACTACCACCGCCAGCCGGCCGCCGGCGCCGGCGGTTGCCCCCTCCTCAGCGACTTCGGCTGCAACGTGCCGGCGCCGGAGGCTCACGCGGCCAATCGATTTCTCTCGGAGTGGTTCGCCGGCATGGGCGAGGACGGGCCGGGATCGGGCCTCCGACTGTGCTCCCACACGGGCTGCGGGCGGCCCGAGACGAGGCGGCACGAGTTCCGGCGGTGCTCTGTGTGCGGCACCGTGAACTACTGCTCGCGAGCTTGTCAGGCCCTGGATTGGAAGCTCCGCCACAAAAAGGACTGCAGCCCGGCGGATAGGTGGGGGGACGTCGTGGACGGCGGCGTTTTTGACGGTGACGGTGAGGATGTTCTGAATCTTAACGGCGCGGAGGATAGTTGAAATTTTCAGTTAACGGCGGTTCGTCTAGTGGACTGTGAATGTGACGGTAACGGCACGGGAGTCTTAGTTTGGGTGGAGAAAGGAAAAGCGAAAAAATTGTGGGGTGAAAATGAAGGAAAGTAAAAAGATCTGTGGCCAAATTTTTGGGGAATCGAGTTGAAAATTTTTTGGGCCTGTGTTAAGCTTCTTGTTTTGCGTAGGGAATGTAAAGTGTAGACCCTGAAATTTTTAATTTATTTTAAAGTTTAGTCTTTTTGTCGAATTTATTTTCATTCACCTTATTAGTTAATCAAGCAAAGGAAATTTGCAATTACAGTTTATTTGAATTCTATTTTTTTTTATCGGTAAATGTATATATAGATCAAAACTGAGGTTCGAACGATCGTAAGACGGCATACAAAAGCATAATAGACAGTCACAAACTCAGCTCCTCATTCGCTAGAAAAAGGACTAAGAGGACAACCACATGTCGGTTGTTCACTTAAATGTCAATAAAAAGCAAAGAGAGTGCATGAGAACTCGGCACTACGGTCGGCGAGATGGTCTCCGCGTCGACGCATGCGTGCTGGACAACTCTCAAACTCCAAATGGAAAGAAAAGGTCTCTCAAAGCCTAAGGCTCTGCCTCTCAAACTCGGCTAGCACATTCGGATATAGCACAAAAATGGTGCGATAAACATGAGTTTTTACCTTATTGATCATAAGGCTCGGGGGTTGATATTCATTTTCGAAAATCAACCTATTTCTCGCATTCCAAATGAAGTACACGGTAGCCGCTAGTGTCGCTTTCTTTAACTTAGTTTGCCAACTACCCCCTCTAGCCTCCTTCTTGGTCCATTTCAGGGCCCCTTTGAGAGTCGACGGAGGCTAACTCATACTCGAATCTCCCTCCAAATTTTCGAGCTAAAGGGGCAATCAAAGAAGAGATGGCTCGATGATTCATTCACAACACCGCAAAGAGAACAGGTCGGGTCTTCATCGAGGAACTCTAAACGGTCTTTTGTTCGGAGTCGATTGAGCAACCCCAACCAAAGGATGAAGGAGTATTTGGGGGTATTACAAGTCCCCAAAACAACCTCGGTCAAGGCACCGAAGAACCCCTAGGTCTTAGAAAGTCGTAGCATTTACTTGACCCATCTTGTCTATTTTTTATTAATGAAGAAAATGAAAAATATGAATTAAAGTACTGAAGATGCTTGGTGACATGATGTGTATTATGATTGTACATTAGAAAGAGTGTAGGGGTGTTAATGTAAAAAAAGGAAAAAGCTGGGGACCAAATGATAAGGAGATTGTTAATGTTGTTGGTCTTTATTCACACTTCTCAAATGACAGCATATCACATGATATGTGGGTCATTGATTTTGGGCAAAAGGGGTTTCCCATAGACAAATTTTATTCTTGAATTTCTTCAAAACAAAGTGAGAGAGATTCTTTTGCTCTCATAGTGCAAATTATTAGGTAAAATTGATGAGATGTGCGTTGTATGTACATTGTGTGTGTGTGAAAAAAAACTTTGAAATAAAACCAACCACATAAATATGCTTCAATTCTGCCTTAACTTTAGGGTAAAGATTGAAAAATCAGTAGAAAGAAAGCTCATTTGAATCTATGTGAAAATGGATTAACCATCAAACTAATTTTCTTTTCCCCCTTTAAATTTAAAAATCCATAAGTAATCATAAACAAATTGCAAGAATTCCCCCCTTTAAGCATATATTTATATTTCTAACTAAAATGATATACAATAAAAAAATATAATTAAAAGTAAAATATTTCATAATACAAGTATACATTTTTATTATAAAAATGTGATGGCAAGTAAAATTGAAAGACAATCTTAAATTTACTATTCATTTTGCTATTAGTACATTTATATTTGGTCAAAAAATGTCAGACTGTAAAGCATTGACCAAAGCACAAAAAGGGCAAAAAAGAAGAAAATAGAAAAGCAAAAGGATTTAAAAAAGAAAGAAAATAATTTTAAAAAAATATCGATTGGAGAGGGTAAAAAAGGTAAAGCAAAAAAGAGTGTGAGGATACAATGGCATAATGGGAGTGTATAATGTGCTGCTCTCATTTTCCCATAACTTTTATCTCCCAAAAGAAATTTTAGCCCCTCGAGAGATGTCAGTGTGTATAGTATCAATTATTAAAAATTTAATTACTTTCTCTATATTATCTTTTTTCTTTAAATTCAATTAAATTATTTTCTAACCATTGTTTGAGTTAAGTTTCTTTATATATTTTTGTCTGTATTAGATTTATATAATCGGGAAAAAATATTGTGGTCGAAGCGCACAATAAGAAGGTGAGTCTAGTTGCACCATAGTGAGGTTCCATCCTAAAATCAATTGGTGTTGGGAGAAGTAGTCCACTAGACTTATATCGCAAATAATTAGGTGTGCCTTGGCACAACCAATGCCTTTGTAAAATACACTCCCTCAAAAAAACGCGTGAGGTAAGTTTTTTTCTTTTAAATGGGACATGTGTCTCATTTCTATTGGATAATGAATTTTATATATCATATTATATAAATTAAATTATCATTCATATTTAATATTAAAAAATAAAAATAAAAATACCAAAATTCATAATTTTTCATTCTCTACAAATAGAGACCACATTTGATAAGTTTTAGAATACAATTAATTTATCACTTTTCACAATTAATTTATTTTGTTGGAAGATGAAGACGCAGATCCATAATAAGATGAACATGTTACTTACTAAGATGAACATGTTATAGAATAAGATGAACATGTTACATAGTAAGATGTTATAGAATAAGATGAACATGTTACATATTTACACAATAAGATGAACATGTTATAAAATGAGATGAATATGTTACAAAATAAGATGAACATGTTACTTAGTAAGATGAACATGTTATAGAATAAGATGAACATGTTACATAGTAAGATGAACATGTTACATAGTAAGATGAACATGTTATAGAATAAGATGAACATGTTACATATTTATACAATAAGATGAACATGTTATAAAATAAGATGAATATGTTACAAAATGAGATGAACATGTATAACATAAGATGAACATGTCCGTAACATGTTCATCTTATTTGATAATATATTCATCTTATTATGTAACATGTTCATCCTATGTCAGTTAATAAATTGATTACGAAAAAAAAAATTAATTATGTTAAAAAAAACCTATCAAATGTGGTCTCTATTTATAGACAATGAAAATTTATGAATTTTGATATATTTATTTTTTTATTTTAATATAAATCATTAATGATATTTTAATATGTCTAATATGTCTCATTTTCAATTAAAAAAAGAAAGAAAGTGGCATGTGTACTACACTCTCATTTTTTTGATTTTTGGGAGTGATTAAGCTCGTGCATAATTGCCCTGGCACACCTAGCAAGGTGTGCCAGGGCACACGGTAGTGGTACTGGGCTTATATAGTAGGCTCATCTTCCCTATAAAATCAATGTGAGATAACTCACAAGTGATATTCCAACAGTCTTACAATAAATTTACATAGTTGATGTGATTAATGTATTTCACATTTTGATGATGACTATATATACTAAGTTACATACTATAGCTTAGAGATTTGAAGTTCAAAAATCAGTTTAAATTTAGAAAACATGATTGGAGATGCTAATTAACAAACTTCTTTTGTGGGCTCATAATTAATTAATAAATACATTCAACTAAAAAAATTAAATAACTGAAATAGGGGGCTCCATGCCAAGCTGTGGATAACATTAGTAGTGCATTCTTACCTTTAATCATCATTAATTATTAGAAGTATTTACTTCCCAACCTCTAAATCACAAGCAATTTCAAAGCACAATCAGAAAGAAAGAAAGAATAGAGATATATTAGCTGTGGTCCAAACTTTACAAAGCTCAAAACAAAAATGGCCATTCAAAGCCATCTTTAATTTGTTGGTTGGAGGTGCAACTAATGTTGGTTGAGAATGTGAAGGACAAAAGCACAAACCTGCATGCATCACACTAATAATGCCCACTCTTTTCAATTTTTTCTTATTTATGGGAAATAAGACTTAATTTTAATTTGACTTCTATAGCTAATTTCGCACATCTATGTTTCCCAACACTCAACCAAATGAAATTTTCAGACATACATAAATGGCTAATTTTGCTAGAACTAAACTTGTACATATAGTTGTTATTTGGTTGTTCAATTGATTGAATGAATAGTATTGTCTAACGATTTGATTAGCTTATATTAATTGCTTAGTTTGATATGTAAATGTATATCTAAAATTGCAATTATATATCTATGTCCAACAGTTCTAGCTAAGTATGGAAGATGAATCTACCATTTTTTTTTTATTGATTTTCTTTGTGAAGATTTAAGATGTGAGTGTTTGCATTGATATTGAACATATCAAATTAAAAGTTTATATAGTTTACGAATGAAAATATGTTCCATTGACTGGGCACATTTAATTTTATATAAAAGTACGTTACATGAGAAATGAACTTATAGTTGTTGTATTTTATATATATTCCGTAGTTTTCAAAGATATATTACTTTGAAGAAATATGTAAAAATAAATTCGTCTGGGCATTTAATTGCATCACTATCAAATGCCCTACCAAATATATAAATCTTATCCCAAAAAATTTTCCTACATTATCATTTATTTAACACATATGGCTATGTAGCTTTAGACCTGGTTCTTAGCTTGAGCTAATTTCGGGTGATGTTTGAGGGATGACTCGCTTAATCTACCTGTAAATTACAAATTGATTGTGTTGTTAATAATCTCAAATCACTTAAATATAGAGTTGTTATTTGTGTAGAGTTGTTCGAATCTTTGAAGCTCAAGATTGACTCGTTCATTTTCTTAAAAGAGTGAAACTCGAACAACTAATTTTTTTCAATACATATTTTAAAAGAACAAATCTTGGCAAACATATTTACGAATGAACATTTGTATTACCATTTATGATTTTGATTCATTAAATGAGTCAATCTTTTGGCTCATTTACTAAACGAGTATGAATTTAAACATGTAAAGACTTATCTCAACTCTATTTGAAAGTGCATATATAAATATATACTAAATTAAACAAGTTATTATGTACCTTCTTTGTAAAATAAGCCCTCCAGTAGTTATAAAAGTACCATTTTCATATTATGCAATTGCAGTTGATTTAATTAACACTACACGAGGGCTGGTTAGTTTAATTATGTTTTCCGTGAAAAATGTTTTCATTTTTTTTTAAGTACGGTTTTATATGAACTTATATATATCTATAATATTACTGACAGGTTCATGCATGATCCACCTGCAATAAAATCACGCACCCCATCACCTGTTAATTTTATAGATTGGGGGACCTTTTGCCTTTCAGTTTGGCAAACCCCTATCAATTGTAAAATAATTTTTCTTATTGTATTATTGCACATTGAAATGGCCTTAATTTGCCTCTTTTTCATCTAAAAGTCAAGACCATTTTCTCATATCTCATAAGTTGATGTACTCTAAATTAGTCAAAACTGATTTTGCAATCTAATGTTGAAAAATTACGTACCTATACCGTTGTATTTTACCGAGTTTTTACATCTGAATGTGTGTAATCCAATGATAAAAAACATGGCGAGGACATTATTTTTTGAGTATAAAGATAAACCCTAAATTAGTCAGAACAAAGCTAATGTTTTTACTCAGAGCCCACAAATATTAATTTATTTTCTCTTGATAGCTTTCACTAAGGTTGAGGATATCACTTTAACTTACATTTTTATAGATATTCTGTTTCTAAATTATTTGGAGCTAAAATAAATCATAGGGTAGAAAATTCTATCCCTTCTTTTGTTGGCTATTGAAAGTATGGGCCAATTGAGATGGAATAATGTAGAGGAAAATTTAGACTAGATAGCCTAACTGGCCCCATATTCAACTTGAGTGTCCACATATATAAACCAAAATTTTCAAATCTTGTGGGCCCTTTGATGTTCCCAGGCCCAAGATGGTTGATTTCAAAATTCCCTCAACTAAATGAGTTTTAGTGGCAATCACAATCAACTTAATCCTGTTGCAAATCTAGATTTGATACCATCCAATGGCATATATTTGACTTGGCTGCATAATCATTCTCCGTAAATTCAAAAATCAAAGGATATCAATTACTATACAAGACTTAAAAAAAAAAAAAAATGTGACAAATAACTGCCCTCAGACTTTAGTGAAACTTGACTATTTTTTACAATGAAACAAGAATTTCTATCTTGCCAAAAATATATGTACTCACATGGCCTGAGACTTATCAGAAAAGCTCATTTTTCTTTGTCGTTGTTCAAGAAAATTACACCATTCATTTATGAAATTCTTGTTACATTCACATTAACAAAAGTCTTTCTTATAATTACAAGTTACAAACTTTCTTCTCTTAAGGAATGGTTGACTTGCTATTTTATTCTGTAATTTGAGATCCTAAATTGTATTTTTTTTTTTTTCCCCTATAAGCGAGCTTATGTATAATGTTACTTGTACTGCATTATGTGCCAATCCAACTACATTCTGATCCATTTAAACTTTCTTTCAAATTATGAATGGGTTTGATTTGATTGATAACTGTGACTGAGAGCAAGTATTTATAAGTTATAACTAATGTTATCAAATTAAACAAGCTTAGCTCCGCTCGACTTGACTCGAGCTCAACCCGTTAAGGCTCGACTCATGAGCCGAACTCAAGCTCATTTATAACTCATTTAATTAAGAAACCGAGCTTGACTCAACTCGATAAGGCTCGAAAACAAATTTTTTATATAATTTTTTATAATTCAGCACGTTAAAGTCGAGTCGGCTCATTAAAACTTAAATTCAACTTGTTATTAGTAATGAATGAGCTCAAACTCTATTTCAAGCTCGTTTATTTACGATCCGAGCCAAGCTCGACTAGTTCCGAGCTTGAGCTCGAGCTCGAGCTCGGCTTGGCTTGTTTACAGCCCTAGTATAACTCACTCAACTACATTTGCACATTTCCAAAGCAACAGAATGCAAATTCATATAAATAAACCCCACAACCACTGGTGAGATTCACCTCTAAGATGATAATATGAACTACAGTCCAAGTCCATCTTCCGTTGCAAACTTAGGAGTTCTTCTTAACAAGTACAGCAAGCAAATACTTCATCCACTTCCCACACAAATTCACTCGTTCCAAATCAATTTACACAAAACCCTTCAGCTTCCAAACATCTTCATAAAGCACGCTAACTAATAACATAAAACGATTAAACACCAAATCCAAATCCAAACCGAAATCGAAATCCAGACCTCTATTCTTTGTCCGACTCACTTTCGCTACTGCTGCCACTTGTCTCAGCTTCCTTTCCTTCAGCTTCTTCCACCTTTTTACACGCCCTGGAAATTTCTTCAACAGGGACCAAAGGAAAATAACCCAAAAGAGTGTACCCTTTTGCACTCAGGTCCTTGACCACCTGATTGTACTTTTCCGACCAGTGAGTGGCCGTGGGAATAACTATCTCAAACACACCGTGTAAAGTAGGGTGCTTGTTGGCCTTATACCATACTGCCACCAGCTGGTTGACTGCCGCCTGCTTCGAGATTTTTCCGGCATGGGAAATGGCGGCGAGTGGGCCCGAGACTTTGGCTTCCTCCGCCAGCTCGTGAACTAGTACGGTTGCTTTCTTGATGGCTGATTGGGTTTTGGAGACAAGATTCTTGGTGGCAAGTGGAGCAGACTCGTCGAATTTGTGAGTTGCTTTGTCAATCTGTAAATAATTGAATTACGAGTGATCATAAAGTAGCACAAACTAAAATTTTGCATATACAAAAGCTATTGTAAATTCAAATGCTACCGAACTTCTCAGATTTTTGTTTGAAATGTACAGATCAAGATTGGGTACTAAAGCTTAAAACAGTTTCTACTTACTGTACATACAAGAAATACAAAATGCAAACAAGGACTGTTACAAAATGCACGAGAATATACAAACAAGGACTGTTACAATTTGCATACAAGAATATAACAGATTCACAGTAGCCCTCTGAAAACTAGTAAAAGCCATCAAACTATTCAATAATCCTGCGAAAGATTGAATCTTTCATTGCATAGATCCCTACCTCCTCATACAAGAACAAACAATTACAACATTTTACTGCACAAAACTAATCAACGAAAAACTCACATCATCCACCATTAAAAAAACAGAAAAAAAAACAAGCGCAATCAAACACCATGAACAAATGAGAAAGCAAAAAGTTACCTTTTGGTCGAGGAAAACAAGAACATCACCCGGAAAGCCTTTGAATCTGCCGTAGATTGGGCTCACGACGGCCGTGACGGCGTTCTCAGCCTTCTCGAAGGTGGGTTTGTACGAACCGGAGTTCTGCTTGGCGGAGTCGTACAGATTCGACACGATTACGGCGGCGTTGATCGCCAGAACCCTCACGAACCCTAGATGTTTTAATTGGGCATAACTATCATCTACCTCGACCTAATCGAGAAGCGGAAAGCAAATTCACGATCAATTTTTTTCCGATAAAATCAAGACGCAGAAAAAAAAAGCACAATTAATCAAAGAGAAAAATTACCTGAGACGACGCCATAACACCTTCTCTTGAGAAATTTTGCCTTCAATCTTCAACTCCTTTCACCGAATATTTGCGAAGAATCTCTCTTTTCTTGTTGCAGCTAAACGTATGTAGACTGAATGTAGGCTTTTATGGGGCAAATAAAACCTTAATACGTGAAGACGATGGCTACGGGATTCGAGGTAAACTTCGAGAAATGAGATTAATTGACGGCCGATGTGAAGCCACGTGGCAGTAGTTTCGCGATTAATCAAGAAGATACCTTTAGCTGACAGCTGCTTGGAACTTTCTCGACCTTTATTCATTTTTCTTGGCCTTTACTTGTCAATACCCCAATTTCTAGCTGATTGAAGTTGGTAACTTTGGATTATGTCTAACAAATAAACTAAATCAGCCTTAATCGAGTTTAAACTCAGCTCGTTTATTAATATTAATGAGTTGAATTTGAATTTTAACGCCAAATTATAAAAATGTAATAGAATAATAATCTTTTCGAGCTCAAATTAGCCAAGTGAAGCTCGAGCTTTTGAATCGAACCAAGTACAAACGACTCATTTCGTTTAGAAAAATGCTACATTACCAACTTAGTGTACAAGTAGGTTGACAACCCAAGTGAAAACATCCAATTGTGTATTTTATTTTTATTTTTATTTTTTTAAATATTTTCAATTGTATTGTCAACCTAGTTGTGTACTAGATTGTCCAGATAACGTTACTCTTTCGTTTAATAGCTGTGGTCAACAGACGTGCATGCACGTGTGAATCTAATGGCATAAACTAAATTTTATTACATCTCTAAATTTTGGCTTCCAACTTCTCAATTTAATCTATGTTTCTCTATTCATTTGCAATATTTACATAATTTCATCAAGGAAAATAAGTAAATAAATACAATCTGGCTATGCAGCTGATAAAATATTGGATTATAAATAAAGATTAATCATAACTGTGTATACATAGTATCAGTGCAATCTGCATTCCCATATTAATTTCAATGTCNCAAAAAAAAAAAAAAAAAGCAAAAAGTTACAATGTTCTGAATGCTGCTGCAATTTGAAATTGCACTGTCAAAAATCAAAATTAGACTGAGTGTAAATATGTTGACAACTCAAAATTCTGCTGTGTGTAGTGTAATGTAACTAAGGTTAAAAGGCCACTAACACAAAAGGCTATATGAAGGCATGTCCTCAATTCGTATCACATCATCCATCAGAAATTCTCTCTCCAGCTGCAATCGTGTCGACTTCAAAATATCCTGTTTCGTATCAAGTTTTATATTTTTTATTTTTTCAAATCCAGTGGTCCAAATTGAAATGTAGTATCATTAAAGAAGCACAATGGAACTATTCTAGAAAGCTAATAACGTTATTCTTACATTGAACTCCATGTATGTTGCGTTTTTGTCGAGCCATAATTTGTCCATAATCATGAACGCCACACAATATAGAATGTCGAACGCCCATTCGTTTTCTGCTAAAAAATTATCAACTTTTAGTGTCCCATCAAATCATTTGTATCCACGAAAATGCTTAAGCAGAAAGCAAATAAAAGTAAAAGCATTGTACTATAATAAAATGTGAATATGCCTTGCCTGATAACATATGCAGAAAAACTGCTCTAATGAATGTTCTGGGTTTCGCTGCATGTAGTTGAGAGTTGAGACCTCACATTAGAACCCATTAACGGAACATTTTCACATTAAAAAAGGTAAGGATAAAAAAAAAAAAGAAAAAGATCCTTGAACAACAAATTTTTTTATTCATTTCTCCTTACTGGCATCTAGATCAAGCATTTGCACGATCATAAATGTTATATTTACACCAGCAACAGCAAATGGATATTCCCAAATAGCCCTTTTGCCTGATTGCTTCCTCAATAGGATCTGGAAAGATGTCTAATGCATAAACAAAATGTAAGTTCTTTGAAGAGGCCAAAGGAAAGAAGAAAGCCAAGTGAACTATTATTACCGAAAACGTCTTTGCGAAAAACAGCAAATTCTCCAAAGAAATGAAACCCGCTCCCCTGCAAACACCAGCAACACGTAAGAGATTCGAAATGAGATATAATATAAATAGATATAAAATTTTATAGGAAAATCAAGACAATAATTGTAAAACAAGAACCTAAAGTCCGTGGATGGATCTTTTCCCTGCCAACCCATTTCTTTCCATTGATCAGAAATTAAGCCGTGAAGCTCCTGCCTGGGGTATGTAGCAGACCATAAGGCCCTCAATGCATCCTGCATTTATCAGTAAATTTTTTTAAAAAAAAATAAAAAATCAGCAATAATATATATCCAGAAAGTTACCAAACCTGATGCTGTGGTCTTGAAGCATCGAAATGAACTTTAGCACGTTGTCTTAACCTCTGTAACCTCTCGTCCTGTGTGAAGCAACTAGATTAGTTCGTCTTACATATCATTTAACACTTAACAGAAGAATCTATTTGGTTTTATAATACTGATTTGCAATAGACTTGCCTGTAGGGGTGTCAAGTTGATGCAAACACGAGCACTGTTTCCATTCCGCTTAAAACAAACGCAGGTTAGAGTTTTTCCCCTCCAAACCGGCGAACCACAAATTGCATCGTCTGCTACCGCCAAATTCGATTTTCTCCCTTTACAAACAATTACGTTCATGCCTTTCAACACTTTAAACTTTTGTTTGTTAAATTAAATCGCTCTATCTAATATTGACGAGAAGAATTTCGAAACACAATAGAGCGGTAGATCAAACAAGAAAATTTAGTTGATTTGCAAGAAAGTTACCCAACACTATAAAAAGTTTATGATGCCCCTGATTATCAAATCATGGTGATTGATTGATTTCAAGGATTGATTAAGTTCTATAGCCATTAAGGCAAAATTGCTAAGAACACAACTTTTGACTACAATATAACCAGATAAAGGAACCCATTTAAGGAAAAATAAGAATATTAAACAGCCAAGGCTCAAACTAATTAATATCTCTAAACCTTTATAATCATCCCCCAAAAAAAAGGATGAATAAATTCTAGCCCCACAAGGCAGAAACACTAAAAAACGCAACTTTTTACTGAAATATTGCCAGATAAAGGAACCCATTCACAAAAATATAAGAAATTAAACTGCAAGGCTCAAACTAGTTAATATATCTATACCTTTCAAATCATCCCCCCAAATAAAAGAACACTAAAAGCATTTGAGTCACGAAATAAAAATGGAGTCTTTAAACCTTGTTCCTCAATAAAAAACAGAGATCACCCATATACCGACAGTTCGTAGGAATCTAATCACTATCCGATGAAAAAAACAGATGAGACAAAAGAAAATTAGTACCTGAAATTGAAGATTGAGAATGATTGCATTTCGGAGAAGACGATGACGAATGGGCAATGGAGCGGACAGCAATGCATCCGCCATGGACATTATTGGGACTAGGCATCCAGTTGCAGTTCAGTCCTCTTTCCCAGCCTTTGTCCTCGTCGTTTTTGTTTCTAATCTCTCAACTTTCAAGCCAGTAAAATTCATATCCATTTTTTCTTTTATTATTATTATTATTATTATTATTATTATTTTTAATGTTATCACTTCATCAGTCTTCGTTTGACCAGGACTAATTTTTAATTGGGTAAAATTTGACGGAGGACGGTATTGCCCCCGGGTACTTTTGCTTTGTTGACTTATGTGTCCTCTATGCTATTGCTACACATTATTGCATTGAAATAGGTTGGTTTATGGGGTGATTGATTCAATTCAAAGTTCTTTGGATAGGTAAGTTTCTTAAGCTTTTCGTGACATATTTTTTCTATAATATGCAAAAAATGTCCAAGTCTCTCGTTGAAAAAATATTGATGACTTGTTTGGTTGATGGAGGATTAAACCTCAAATAAATGATTAACCAATTAAATTTGTTAGTTGGATTGTTTATCAAAAGAGTTCAATTACTTAGCTTTTTGGATCAAGACGCTAATTTTGGAAAATCTCTAAGAAATTAACATTTCGACTAGAAAATATTCAAAATAAAATAAGACAATCTGATAGCTACGGATGTAAACAAGCTGATCGAGCTCGAAAATCAATTGAGCCATAATAAATTACATATAAATCCGTGTTTTTAGCCTTATTGACTTGAGTTCGGCTCACTTCGTTAATTAAATGAATTTTCAACAAATTTGAGCTCGAGTTTAACTCATTTCTTTGAACAATTCTAGTGATAACCATAAGTTTTCGTTGTTTACAAAATAATTATTTACAAACTGCTAATAGAGTATGTTATTCAAATCAATTATCTACTACCAGCTAATACAATCATAAGTTTCCGTGTTCACAAAATAGTTATTTACAAACTGTTAATAGAGTATGCTATTCAAATAAGTTATCTACCATCGCTAATACAACCAACTAATAACCACACAAATTAGAAATCTTTAATACTGCGTAGTGTTAGTCCCATTTTTGTTACTACTTTTGTGGTATTTTGTTTATCTTTCTTTTCCCACTCTAGGTTGTTTTGTAGGTTTTTCCGGTCATTTGAGTCATTTTGTGCGTTTAGTGTTATTTCTGTATTTTTCGTGTTTTTCGTATTTCTTTCTTCCTATTCTCCTGTTTCCGTGTTTTCTCGGTTGGTGTTGGTTTCAGGTATTCGAAACGCTGCTCTAGGATCGTTCAGCTAGTCGTGCGGACCAACATGTGAAGGACAATGTTCGAGCTCGGGCGGAACCCGGGAGTGCACGAGACAGTTGGGGGCTTATAAGTCGACCGGGGGAGGTTAGGCGAGCCGAAACGGGA